GGTGGGGGGGGGGAGTGGTAGAATAGCTCTATGCATTCTTAATTTCGGCACTAGATGGAGGCTGGTAGTTAGCATCACACCCTGTTCACTTAACCCCCAAGGAAAGAATCCTGGCACCCACTGGGTAGGAGGTTGGGTTAGCCCCGCAATTGATCAGGATGTTGTGGGGAAGAGAAACATTCTGTTCTGCTGGGGAATCAAACCCTGGACATCTAACCTGTATCCTAGTCACTATACTAACTGAGCTGGTTTTCCTTTATAAACTGTTGGATGTTTAAAATTTAGTGCTTTTTACTTTTATTAGGGAGGCTTTGTAATGAAGAAATAGCTGCACTTCAGACTTGGTCTTCTCACGTAGAAGAAACGGATGAAAAACGCCTTGCTCATGAGGGTGAAGATGAAATGGTAGAATTAGCAGAGAGGTTTCAGAACCGCTTTCCACAAATTCTGCCAGATGTTTATACGAACTCAACATTTAAGGTACAAAGTACTAATATCATTCTTCTTATAAGAGTATGTAACGTAAATATATTTCACTTTCTATATGTTTTTCATTCTTCAACAGTTCCAGTTTACTGCGACGCAGCGCACTACTGAGAGTGCTCGTCATTTTACCGTTGGGCTCTTTGGACGAAGAGTAAGTCGGCATGTTTGGTTTCCAGAGGCCATATACAGAGATCCAGTTCTCAGAGTAAGCTAAAGCACAAATTAAATTACTCGTACATCAGATATGACTGTGATTTTATGAAGCTCGTGTGTGTCTTCAATGAAATTTTCCTAGGAGTTCTAATTTTAAATTTGTGTGCTGAAATGTGTTTCAAGACATTCAGTGCTCTACAGTTTTAAGTTTGCCTTGTAAATTTATTTTATTTTAAAAGTGTAACATTTAAAAGTAACATCTGAATTTACTGTTCATTGTTTGGTTTCATATTCCTATTACTGTTTTTATATGAGGCACTGGCTTGGGAAAGGTTACAGTCTAATAAGTTTACCATTCCTATGCTAACACAAAAGTATATTAATTTAAAATTAATGAGACAAGATGAACTAAGATTGGGTGATGTTGATGAATTTCAGTAATACTTGGATAGTGACTGGAGTGTATGTGGCTATTCTTTGCAGTTGATGTAGGAATAATGGAGGAAGCTGCTTTGCTAGATGTCTAAAAATATGGTAAAACTGTTTTGCAATGCTTGTAACAGGGTAAGTAGACTTAAAACTTGAAGGAATGAAGATGATGATGGCACTGATGATTACAATGGCTAATATATACTGGTAGGATTAATTTACATCATTACTTTGTTACTAATACAGGTAACCCTCGATTTACACTGGGGATATGTTCCTGGACGAACCGGCGTAAATTGAAACTCTTTTTATAATGTAAATCAATGGGAAGTCAATGACATGCGTTCCCAGCACCCAAACATTGACGAGTAATATATAATGACATTACATTTGAAGTTCTGAAGTAACGTAAATAAAACAAAGGGAATTTAAAAAATATATTTAATAAATTTACAATCGGCAATTCATTGGTAACTGCGATTGACTGCAATTCTTTCATGTGATCGATGTGTACTGTCATCTCTGCTGTTATGCGATAGTTGCATTCATGTAAGACGCCGACCTATAGAAAATCGCGTAGTAAAAATAACCCCGGTACCTCCGCAGAGATTAAATTAGTCCTTTGAAAGTTTAAAGTGCCAAGAATGAAACTGCATAAGAGCAAACTCGCACATGCAAAAGTTTGCATTTCACAAACAGCTTTTACCGATTCATCGATCTCATTGGAGCAAATTCGTGTTAACGAAACATACATAATTGCAGAGATGACTGTATTTATAATTTTTATTAAAAATCAGCGATGTAAGAATTACGATTTAGTATAAGAATCAGTACGAGATACATTGTAAAACGGTATAAATAATAGTAAAATATATTCTTTCACTTTTTGTCTTTCTGTTTTCAAAATCAGCGTTATTCTGAATCGGCGCATATTGAACCGGCGCAAATCGAGGGCTACCTGTATAAGTTTTAGACCAATTTTATTTTGTTTTATTATGTCTTTCATATTTTGTTGTTATATTTTGCTTCCCTCACATTAAAATTTCAACAGACATTCATGTTGTCTGTGAAAATGAGAACTGATAACATTGTCTTTGTAGTACTTTCATATATGGATGGGAAAATTAAAAACAGAAGTTTCACAGCAGAATAATGCCTTGTTGTTTAACATATGTGTTCCCTTACAGTCTGGAAGCCTACATTCCTTTTTCTGGTTATGCAACTGTGTAAGTTCAACAGTATATCATTAATAATTAAACTAAATTTTTTTCAGTTTTATAAATTATGCCAAAGATGGCGTGTAGAAGTAGACAAAAATCCATATTCTTTGTTGGAGAGAACAAAATTTGAGGAGGGACCAGAAATGTCTGCTGCACTTAAAGATGTTAGTTTTCATTTGGGATTCAATGAAACCATGAATATTGGTAAGTATTCAATTATTAATTACTTCTTCTCAGGCTACTAGCCATGTCAGGTAGAATTTGACACACCTGGTAGCCCAAGAAGAATTCATTATACTTATCACCGTGAAAGATTCAGATATACAATTATTTCAGTGCTTATTGTTGGTGGAAGGATGCAACATTGCTTAAGATTACAGGGAGGATATTTGTTTCAGGTGACGCTATTCTTTTGTATATTACATGCTCATTTGAGACAGCTTGGGACCACCGTGCACAGTCACCATGGTGTGCTGCATTTTCAGAAAGTAATATGAAGGTAAAGACATGAAAGTGTTATATTTATTATATACTGATATGAACATATTGTGTTTCAAACAGATTCTGCTTCAAGATCTTCATATCACATCTGTGTATTGAATTACAGTGGTAGGGATTAGTATAGTGAAGCTATGATGAATAAGACAAATATTGCATACATAGTTTTGGTGGGGAAATCTCTTTAAAATTAGCCACCTGAAGACTGAGGAGATGGGAGGATAATATGAAAGTGGGTATTAAGGAAGAAGGTTTTAAGGATGAATGCTGACTCAGAGTTATTTCCAGTGGTATATTTTTATAATGACAGTGTTGAAAGTTTGGGTTTTGTTATGAGTGTTAGTTTGATTTTATTAAGAATATTAGCTCTGGATTAAATCACTATAATTAAACTCTAAAGGGCTCTGACGATGGTGGATTACACTTAAAATTATTCATTGTCTGGACATTTTCCATCGTCCTTGTTTAAAAAAAAAGAAACAGCCAGAAAACGAAATGAAGCCTGTTGGTTTGGCATTTATCCCGTACGCGAAGGATGTTTCCAAGAAATTTAAATGCATTGCTAATTAGTATAGTATTAAGACAATTTATTAATTAATATATTAAGATAATTTTAAGTGTAAATCACTGTAATTGATTTGGTATATTAAAATACCTGTAGCTGCCATAATGGTATTGTTAATGATGTTAAGTACCAAAATAGAGAGCTTTTCAATGGCATGATATTCATACAGATTCCACAGCTGGTCAGTTGCTTCTAATGTTGATGTCTGAACAGGGATGGCCATAAGTCCAATAGGTTGGTTTGTAAGGTGTAATAAGTGATTCATTATGAGTGAGAAGAACAAGAGAAGATATTTGTTATGATGATTGTGTGTGAGTTGGGT